GAAAGGGCTGGCCTTGCTCATGTAAGGTCTGGGGTACATCCCCAATCTCTCCCAAGCTCTCTCACAGTCTATTGAGAATTGTTGTTTTCCTTGAATTGGCAGTAAGTGGTCTTCCTAAGACATGAACTATGCTTCATTTCTTATTTTATCGCCTGTCAATCAGAATTTGTAGGACTATATGGAGAGAAAAGATTGGCCAGTGAAAAGTATGGAAAAGGAATAGGACAAGTTGTTAATGAATCTATGTGGTTCAGTTCTTGGCATACTGGATTGAAGGAACTCAGGGAGATGTAGAAAAGATGCCTAGCAGGGAGTTGGCAAGGAACATTGCAACTGAGGATAATACTCCATCTGTCTATTGGGCTGAGCACTATGAGAAGAACAGAAGGGAGCCCGGGACTGTGGGGATACAAGGGTCCTACCAAAAGACATGGTGTGGGAAGACATCTGTGAATTGAAACCTAGAAAATGTCAATATTTATAAATATTTACAGGAAAATAAGAAGAAAGAAAATGATTTTTAAAATCTAACATTTTTCCAGGGGAGAACAAGGGAGAAAAGATGTTAGGTAAGCTGTAGTTTTGCAAAGAAAAACTCTAAGTTTTGAGGTCACCAGTAAGAAAATATTGTTGGTATTGATAAGTTTAGTTGAACTGAGATTAATAGTCTATAACACTAAAAGACTTTGACAAAAGGGAAAATAATTACTGACAAAGAATTATCAAACCCAAATTATTATAGGTATAAGAGGAATGTGTGGATTATCTAAGCAGATCTGAAGTTCTCTTTGTATTTGATAGGTTTATTTAAGTTTTTAATGTATTTTGCCTTGCCAAAAGCCGTTCTACTATAATAGATCATTTCTTTCCTTTCAAGGTTGAAGAAAATATATTACACCATGGAAAACTGGTTACTGAGCAAAAGTCATCAGAGCCTAATTTAATTAAAATTAGTTTATTGCTGTGGATATCACTCTGTATAAATAAAATGCTGATTGGCCAGTGGCCAGGCAGGAAGTATAGGACAAGCAGAGAAGAGAATTCTGGGAAGTGGAAGGTGGAGGGGAGGAGACACTGCCAGCTGCCACCATGAAAAGCAGCATGTGAAGATGCCAGTAAGCCAGGAGCTATGTGGAGAGGTATAGATTTATAGAAATGGGTTAATTTAAGATATAAGAACAGTTGGCAAGAAGCCTGCCATGGCCATACAGTTTGTAAATAGTATAAGCATCTGTGTGTTTATTTTATAAGTGGACTATTGGACTGCTGGGGCTCGACAGCACCCGGAGAGAAAACTCTCCAGCTACAGTTTATGTCAAGTTATTCATGGGGATACCATTTGAGATATACTCAACAAACTACATATTACTTGTATGTAGATGGTAAAAGTAGGATATGTTTAACTATTTGTTTGATATAAAATGTTCATATAAGATTGAAATGATAAATATAATATGAAAGAGGAAAGTTGTTTTCAAAGTATGTCCATGTATTCAGAAAGCTAACTTAAAAGCAACATTAAGCTTTGCCTTGGTCTAATATTTAGGGGAGGATTACTGGAAGCCAATTAATTCAGTTTATTAACACTGTTATAACCCCAGATTGGGTATAACTGAAGTTTTCCTGTGTCCTGCCTGGCCCCTGGTCAGGACAAATCTCTCTCACCAGCCAATCCCATAGCCACTCAGACCCAACTAAACACACAGAGTCTTATATTAATTACGGACTGTATGGCCATTAGCTCAGGCTTATCACTGACTAACTTTTATACTTAAATTAACCCATAATTCTTATCTATGTTTAGCCATGTGGCTTGGTACCGGTTCTCAGTTCTGTTCTCACATCTTGCTTCCTTTGTGTCTTCCTGACTGGCAACTCCTGACTCAGCCTTCCTCTTCCCAGAATTCTCCCCTTCTGCTGGCCCCACCTATACTTCCTGCCTGGCTACTAGCCAATTAGCATTTTATTAAACCAGTGTACAAGGGCATTATCCCACAGCAACTGGGTGTGTTGGTTACCTTGGTTGTTGCTATGCACAAAATGCCTAACATTGAGAAAAGTGGAGCTTATCTTGGATCATAGTCTGAGGCTACAGTCCATCACGGTGGCAGGAGTATGTGGTAACCAATTACAGTGTGTCTGCAGTCAGGAAGCAGTGAGAGATGAATGTTGCCAATGTTTCCCTTGATATTAGTCCGGGACCCCAGCCCATGAGAGAATACCACTCCTATTTAGTGTGGGTTTTCCAACCATAAAAAACTTAACTAGAAATCCTGTTAGTGTACATGCCTAGAGGTTTGTCTTTGGTGATTCTAGACACCCTTAAGTTAATAGTCTATATTAATCATCTCAATGGGTACCTTATTAAAAACAGAAATTGCTTTGTTATGACACTAGAGGTTCATCCAGTCCCTGCTGTTAGTGTCTTATGGGCATCAACCTCTAGACTCACAGATGACAGCTCTTCAATGTATGCTCATATAATGAGAGGATTCTGCCAGGTTTCTGAAGCTTCTAAAGGTTTGGCTTTCCTGACCTAATTACCTCACCAAAGCCATGTCTAATATAATCATAATGAAGATAAGATTTCAATATTAAATATTGGTGGTGCACAATTAATCACATCACAGTACCAACTCTAGCTGATTGTTAGTGTACTACACTAGTTTACGTTTATAACTTTTCTAAATCTGTGTTTTTAAAGCATCATTTTCAAAATCAACTGGTTCTACATGATTTTTGTAATGAAATACAATAAATGTATACTTCTACCCCTTTTTTATTATCAATCATGAAAGCATTATAATGTCTACTGGTCCATAGATTAACATTAAGGATATTGTGTTGTATTTCACTATAGAAAGCATGGAGAATGGCTTTGCATATTCTCTTTCTCTCTATGAATCTCTCCCTTCATCCAACTCGTAGCCCACAGCACTACCTTTGGGGTCCCAGGTATCCTCACCAGTGATGAAGTACTGATCATACCATCTTTATATTACTGCCATGAATCTGAGTACACAACCATAGTCAATCATCTTCACTGGCTTTAAGTAACTGTGCTCATCACTGTACCAGCTGAGTGCTCCAAACAGAGCTGTAGTTCTTTGTTGATGCCAATTCTTTCCCTCTGTCCACTCCTGCATCTATTTAAAAAGTTATTTTACTTGTTTGTTTTAAGCTAACATGTAAAGCAATGAATTTCATTACAGCACTTTCATATCTATCTTGTTGATCCTGCTCTCCCTTCTTTCTCTCATCCTCTCTCTCTCCACCCTATACTCTTCCTCACTTTTCCACTCTTATGTTGTATATAATCTATTCTTTTTTTCTCTCCCACATATTTAAGTTTTGTTTTCCCCTTGTATGATCACATTTCCAGTTTCATGACCTACATCAATGCTCACACACATCTATTCATATTTATGAAGATTAAAATCTAGAGCATGTGTATGAGAGAAAACACACAGTATTTGTGTGGCCAAGTCAGGGTTATCTCAATATAATAATATCAAGGTCCACACACTTTTCTGTAAATTTCATGATTTTATTTTTCTTTACAGTTGAATGATGTGTATGTGTGTGTGTGTGTGTGTGTGTGTGTGTGTGTGTGTGTGTGAGAGAGAGAGAGAGAGAGAGAGAGAGAGAGAGAGAGTACGTGTGTGTGTATGTGCATTATGTATTTGTATAGGTACACACTTTCATCTTGGCAGCCATTGTCATTAAGTAATAGCTAATTACCTTGATGATTAGCAATGGCTTTTCCTTCCTTTGACTTTTTCCACCTTTGATTTTTTTCCCTTAAAAAGAAAAAGAATGAAGGGAAGGAAGAAGTATGGAAGGAAGAAAGACTGGATGGAAAGAAGATTGGAACGGAAAGAGAGAGGAAAGGGAAACAGTAGGTTGGTTACTGGAGCAGTGCAGAGTCCATGACCAGTAGAATGGGGTGTTACTCTTTCACATCTTATATGAGGCAGCCTAAAATTAGGAATGCCTCCCTGAAAGCAGCTTCCCAAGAGTGAAATATAGATCAAAGGAAAGGAGAAGAGAGCTTTCAATGAAGTAGATACAGTGTTTACCTTAATTGTTATAGCTTTGTTCTATTGTTCTAACTCGGGAGTCAGAAACTGAGATGAAAACTTAATACATCCAAAGAACAGAAGAGGGACAATCAGCTGCCACTATTCTCCACATTTTCCCAACCCCAAAGCCTGGGAAAACTCCCTCAGTCTCTCCTTCTCTCTTCCTGTCCCTCTTTGTCCAACTCCCTCAGTCATCCATCATCTCTATGGCTAATCCTGGTCAGCCAATCACTGACTCTGTCCTTTGATTCAAGGTGGTTTTATTGGCACAGCAGAGTGGCATTGTAAACAATTCCCTCACAATAGAAAATCTGACCTATGAGGGTCAACATGGTATAACAGAGAGAAGATAAGTGTGCAGATCATTATCGCCTGAAGATTTTATTAAGATGGGTATGAAAATTGTTTTCAGAGCAGGGTGAGGCAAACCTTAGGTGAGAAGCTTCACTCCACCTTCTCAAGTCAATCAAAGAAGTAACTAGACAAATTTGAATACTGTTGGCTCCAAATCTGTAAACAATTCAAAGTTCTCAGCAAGACCTCAAACTCCAGCAACTAACTGTATCTACCATGCCTTTAACTTAGATACCTAACTGCCACTGCTGTGAATCTATGCTGTGGTAGTTTTCGTCAAGAAAGGCATAGATAATTGCAATTACTATTCTTTAGTTACTTACATAGGTACTCAGGCCCATAGGTACTTTTCTGGTTTATTTTATTCAAGTAAGCAATGGCAAGCACTTGAGGATTGTTTCCTGAAACAACACATCTAAAATATTTTAGATGCTTCATTGAGAATCAGCCTGCTCTTCAATCCTCTAACACTTGCTTACCAATATAGAAGGAACAATACTGTGAGGGTGTATAGATAACATCTCATTTGACTTCTTTGCTTAAATGCTAGAGGGTAGGGATCACATCCACAGCCTTTCTGCATCTACAGAAGCTATTGCACTTGGTTTGATGCCTTAGAGAGATGCTTCTTGGAATTTTGACACTTTTGTTTCATTTGTTAATTAAGTAAGTGCATGTGGAGTATAAGCTCTTTGACAGTAATGCTCTGCATTGGAAACACAAAGCTAAAAGATGTAATGAGATGTCATTTGTGGTAGAAGGGGGCCTTTGGGGGAGAAGCATATACGTCATATTGTCTTTAGATGGCTCTCTACCCCCACTTCATCAATGGCATCACCAGCTCAGAACTAGTAGAAAAGGTGTACATATGTGTAGTTGAAACTGCATTTTACAGTATTTCTAGTAATTGCATAATTATTTCTTTTAACTAAGTCATCTAACATCACATTCTCATTTTTCTTCTTTAAACTAAAAAGAATATGCCTATAAATTATATATATATATAGATATAATGTATATATGTTTGTCATAATCCTTCAGTTATTTTTGTAGCTTTTAAAAACATAAATTTACCTTGGATAATAGCTGCTTCTAAAGTAAGACATTAAACTTAAAACATTAGACTTCAATGATGCATTCTATTAAAACTAACCATCCAGGCAACTAACACTTTAAATAACAAACAAAAATGAATGTGTACTAATCTGCTAAATTTTAGTGCCTTATTTATCTTAAAATTAGAGTTTTGTAGTATATGAATAGTAAAGTTGGCATTAATTTTGCTCTATATTACAATCTTTGTTGAGAAAGAATTATGGCATTTACAATTATTCCAAAAGGGTTTTTTAACAATCCCCATAATAGTGATTAAAAAAAAATTCTAGTGGTATGCTACATCATAACAATGTACTATCACATCACTTTAGTTTCTAGATCCCAAGTCATGATTAAATACTAAGTCTTCATGTACACAGATTCCCATGTGTTGACAGGACAAGAGCTATGTGTCACTTCTTTCGGGACTGAGTGAGGAAACAGACATTCAGGGAGTTCATTGACCTCTGACAGTTCATATACTGAGGAAGCTGAGGAACTGACAGAGAAGATACCTTTAATTGCATATAATAAACTTTAAAATATTTGCAACCCTGCTGGGAACCTTAGTCTGAAATTCTTTCTGAACTTCTATACTTCTTATGAAGAGAGATGTACAAATTTCACCCACACAAGGAAATAATCTCTTTAGCAAGTGTCCTGCCAACCCAAGCCTTGACCACCTGAGTTTCATTCATTTATTCTGAGGGCCACGGGATGAAAGCCAAGCTGCAGAGGACAGAAGACAATAAAATCATTAAAGCATTGCCATATGCTGTTCAAAAATAACAGTGAAGACTCACGCCTTTTTATTTTGCTTGTAAAAATAAAATATAACCTTAGTGATGCTGGGGTAAAGACCCAGTTGATAAAGTTCTTGTCTTGCAAGCCTGAAAACCTGAATCTGTTGCCCAAAAACTATGAAAAATATATAGAAAGGCATGGGGATAAAATGCTTGTATTTCCTTTACTGGGGAGGTAGAAATGGAAAATCTCCGTAGCTCACTGGTCGGACAGGCTAAAAGATTCTTTAGTATCTAGGCCAATGAGGAGCATCATCTCTAAAAACAAGGTGGGTGGTACTTGAGAAACGACACCAGAGGGCTGACCTCTGTTTTCCACAGCATGCATTAGCACACCTGTACTCACACATATAGGCATCACATCTAGAGCAGAACTTTTGTAAACCATTGCATGACTATAATTAACATTCATAATGCCATTAATTTTAAGAACATATAATAGAAGTAGCGGTAGTGAATTTTTATTATGAAATCACTTGTCCTTGCTAAACAGAACACATTTATTCTCGATGTGTGTTTACAAAAAAAAAACAGTTTAGAATGTAGCTTATGGGGTCAATATGTATGAAGGGTCTATACTTATTGAAAGGAATACTATCAGCTCAGGGTACCCAAAGACCAAGTTCTCAGCACAAAGGAGATTTATTTGCTTCAGAGGGACAGAGAGCAGGGAATAAGAGACAAAGACAGGAGAGAGAGGATGAGGGAGATGGGGAAGAGAACAAGGAAGAGAGGGAAGCGGGGTTAGTCATGGAGAGACAAAGACTGCCTCTGGAAAGTGAGGAGACACATGAGGCACACAAGGAAAATGGTTTATAAAGGTAAAAGTGGAACCCTGTGTTAGGATGAGGTGTTCAATTTTAATTGGGCATGTTAATTAGTGAGCCAAAGGGGGCTTTGGTTGCTGGACTTCAATACTTTGACAGGGAGACGTTGATGGTCAGCCTCGGTGGGAAGAAGTGGCCAAATAAGGGAATAGACCTTGGAGGCTAGCTTTAGGGATGTAGTCTAATAGTTTTAGCAAGGCAGAGGGAATTGGGGAGAAGGGCAAGGCTTGCCAGAGCCATGTTTGCTAGGCCTGGGCTGGCTAGAGTCCCTTGGCATATAGATCAAGTAGCTGACCTTTGACTTCTAAAACAGAAATGAGTGGAGCCATTATACCTTTACTACATTAAATGGTCTCAATGAGTTAATAAATATAAAATTTACAATAATAAATATTAATTTACTAGAAATATTGGTGAAATAAATAGGAACCAAATATCCATATATGAGACTATAAACGTGTCCATGACTGATCCCTTCAAAATATTCACAAATCTCTAAGAAAAGCAGAGCATCAGCAAGAGGAATCATTTCTACTTCTCAAATCATGACATTGTTCCTGGGATAGTGGTGAAGATATGAAGTGAAATTATGCAATACCAAGTACTGATTTGAGTATCAAGTGTACCATGGCAGGAATTGCATCTTGAGAAGCATTGATGCCACACCTGTTGATATGCACCTGCAATGTCAATACTTAGAAGGCTGAGTCAAGATCATGTACTTGTGGGCAATATGGGTTGCATGGTGAGTTTGAGACCAACATAGGCTGCATTCACTACAAAGAAAGATAAAGCAAAGAAAAAAGACAATGGCATGCCAGCGGAAACAAAAATGGGATGATAAATGAAATATGTTAAGAGTGGGAAATACACCTTATGGTCTGAACGAAACCTAAAGCATGTAACAATCAAAACTTCATTTCACAATGCTACTGTGAACTTCTGCTTAATCATTCGTACTACCATCAGATCCCACTCTATGGGCTCCCTTCTCTAAACAAATGAAAGAAAGAGAAACAAAACCAAGAATGGACAGTGAGAGGAGGAAGGGAAGGAGTAACAGAAAGGGGAGGTGTAAACGTCAATGGACTAGTTACGTCACTCAGCAAGCTCATGTGTGGGCATTTTCCAGTGTTGAGCTCCCCTCAGAAACATCATCAGTTCACCCTGGAGACATGTTCTTGAATGGACAGAAATGCCCTGACCACAAACATACATAGCCATGTGCACCTAAAAATGCATGTGCTTCCTGCATAGCACTTAGTCAATGACTAACAAGTGTGTAATTTTAAAAGTCCAGCTCCCTCAAACACACTTGGAACAAATCATGGGTCCTAGCATATAGGCCCGAACATTCCTTTGCATGAGCTCTCACCCATGCCTGGCTTCCTTCTGTCTCAATTCCTTTTCTTCTATTCCTTCCTGCATGTAATCCTCCAGAGAGGAAGTTCTTAATAAATGACATATCCTAACCCTTTATACCAAGGAAGCCAGCGCAAGTCACAAAATCAAGCATATTTTCAACTAAATTTCCCTCTAAGATTGCAATGAAAAAAACAATTTGGCGTTTTCTATAAATATGGGTATGTTAATCAGAGAGGGTATCACTTTTGCACTGGAAGAGCAAGGACATAGTAATGAAGTGTAAATAAGGAAGACTATCACTCCATTGCCTAAATCCAGAGGGCTTTCCTCAAATTCAACCTCCCCTCTTAGTTATCCCCCTGATTTAATATTAAACATAATTTTGATGGAACTGTCACATGCATCCAGTTAATACCCTTTCCATCCAGTATCATCATCCATTTTCCCCAAAAAGTCACAGCTGAGGACAGGAACATGTTTAGAATAGGCTGTTGTGGTCAGAGACATCTGGTGGCATTTGCAATTTTACCTACAAATTTTCATTTTTATAAAATTGGGCAAAACCAAAGTGTTCAGCTTTGTATCTTCCTAGTTGGCTAGAGATCTGCTGGCTTATAATTCCTGCAGTGGCATTTGAATCAGCAAGGAGAATATATCTTTATTAAGCACAGCAAGTGATATAAATTCATTTCTCAAGCAAGTAATCTGATCAAACCATCATAATTTTAAAATTACTTATGATAAAGAACGTCTTTTTTATAATAGGCCATTTTTCAGAATAGGTTTAAATCTCATTTAAGTGTTGTATTAAATATAATCACTTCCTTGGGTCACCCTACACATCGTGTTCTGGCAAAGCTTGGTATAGAGCCCTTTCTTTACAAAATGTGTCAAATACCTTTAGACCTATTATCTGGCTATGTTTTTCTCTTTGCCATCTCTAAATCCCTTGAGTTTCTTTGTCACTACCATCCAGAAATTAAGCTTGTTGATAATGTGTATTTAGATTTGTTACTATGGAGCTAAAATGTATCTGACTTAGGACTCCCACAGAATCTACCCTTAAGCATAGCATTAGAAATCCAGTCTCTTTCCATGGACCCAACAACTCCAGCTCCATTTTCTTCACCAACCATTACAGACTACACATTCTTCTATTGCTTCTGACTCTAACCTAACAGTTTCTAATGCAGTATCTATGGAAAACTGGACATTGAGGTAATTATATGTATTATCTGAAGAAAAAAAATATTGACTAAAAGATTTCAATATAAAATGCATTTGAGAAATGCTAGTTTAAAATAAAATTATTTTGCTGTAAGGCATTTCAAATATGTAATATAATAATTTACAACTTAAATCTTCAACGCAAGACAGAATAAGTCTTATTGATGTGTAAAGCCATTTTCCATATTATTTTATGATTTCATAAAATTATAGTTAATGGAATTAGAGTGATATATTTATGTAGACTCATAAAACATTGG